CCTCCTAATTGAGTGCCTCAATTAGCAGCCAATCCTACAGAGAAGCAAACAAGACTTAGGGGTTATAAAAATAGAAAGAAAAAAATAAGTGAGAAAGAACAATAAAATAACAGTGAATTTCCAAATCCCAAGTGTCAGCCTAACAAATCAGTAGCATTACTATCTGATTAGGGGGCTGGATAAATTGACAAACCAATTGGTAGCAATGGAGGCAAAGGCTATGGTGGCTCAATATAGAGTTGTGAGTCTTAGGGGTTATTTTCAGCAAAATGTGTTGGCTAAACAGAAGGAAAAGGAAGTGGAGAGAGAAGAGGAAGCATTGAAGAATGCAAAAGCATTGGTAATCAGCTTGCTTCTTTGATCTGCATTCCAACTGTCATAAAGTATACAGCCCCTATTATTTTTCCTTTTCTCACTGTCTCCATGTGTCAGGATCATGCATCGGTGTCTTGCTCTGGCACTCAGTACTCTAACATCCACCAGTTATTGTAATCTCTTCCTTATTGTTCTTAGGGGTTAGGGGTAATCCCGCTGGGTTTCCTGTCTTGGGAAATGCTTCATTCTCAATGAGGTTGGTCCTGTCTGGCATGTCGGCTAGCACACCAGTTAGGATTTTCTCCCCTGTTGATTCACTCATTACCTTATGGAGTTGCTCCTGAAGCATCGTGCTGGGTTTCTTCAGAATAGAACATTGCTTAGAGTTCCTCGCTCCTCACCAGAAGTTGGTGCATCTGCCTTATGGGAGTGTACATATATACTGTTTGTCTGTTGTGGATCCTGACCAGACTATTTTGATCTGGCATTGAGTCCACTGGAGCCAGAAGGTATGCAGTTGTGGAACTTATATCCCTACAATTTTTTGCAGCAATTATAAATCCTGACAACTCTTCAAAATACTGCAAGCTTCATCTACAATTACATTGGTAATATGTGCATAAATTACATAAGTCTTGACCAAGTTTGCATTCAGCTGCCTGAAAGTTAAGAGTAGCAGCAATGAACTTGGTGCTTTGCAACTCAAGAGGAGTTGGCGGAGCACCAAGGCTGGAAGAAATGACCTAAGCAAGAGCGTAATTGATGTGCTTGCTGTGGGTAACTAAAACAATGAGAAGAATTTTTTTGGAAAGGATTCAAATTAAATTGAATCATCTTTATTATCTGCAAGACATGACATGCAGTTTGATAAAGAGCTTGCCTTGTTTTTGTGTGAAAGAGAAAGGCAAGAATCAAATAGGCACTTCAACCAACCAATCTCATATACAATGTGTGAGTTCACTGCTATCGAATTTATTTAATAGCAAGGGGTAGCATTGTTGAAGGTTCTACAAAGCTTTTGAAAGCTAAGGAACAGCTTCAATTAATCAATTTGAATCGTTCTAAGGGTTCAATATATTCCTTTGACTAAGGTAGATTCAGCACTATTCGTGCTTGGTGATGTTGATATGGGTATATTAAGAATTGGAAGTTTGAATCAAAGTAAATTAAAACCAAAACACACAGACCCCTACAGAGGGCTAGAACTATGTGCTGGCACAACCCATGATTTGCCCTTAAGACCAACAACTGATATAAGTTTGAAGAATATCCAACAGCTGGATATAACTTCTTGCAGTCACAAGGAGCAGAATACAGAAGAGGCTTTCACAAAGCAATAAAGGTGGAGTGACTGACGGAGCAGGAAAGCAGAGTGACTAAGCAAGGCGGTGAGGCGGAGCAATTATTCCTTTTCTCACTGTCTCGACGCCTTTACTTGTATGATACATCATCCCATCACTATCACACTCCACCACTGTCAACCCCCCATTGATTGCTGATCCACCTGACCTACCTTCTCCTTCTACCGGCTTTCGCCACCTTCCTTGCCCCTGAACTGTACAGTATTACATCACTGTTTCTTGCAGACCAGATTATGTATATATAGCCAACCCTTCACAACCTGGTCCCTTATCTTGACCTCTCTGTTATTATCTGGGACCAGATATGGGTTTACTTACTATTACCTATGACTACGATACTCAATATATCTCTGTCATTATCTGGGACCAACTTGCCTCCGCTTCACTTAGTCAATCCACCTCGCTGCCTTGCTTAGTCGCTCTGCCTTGTCGCCTTGACTTTGCAGAAAATACTTGCTTTGGCAAAAAGACAAAAAATCCCAATAAAGTGACAATTTCAGGCTTATGTCAGTCCACTGAGTTGGTGTGTTTTTCATTATTTACAAGCTTTAGAACCCGTGCCTACGCCACGGTGGCTCACAAAGCTCGCACCACACTCTGGCCGGATTCACAGCTTGTTGGGGGCAAGCCCCCAAACCCCCATTTGTCGTTGCTTTGCTCCTCCACACTATATAGTTGTTATTCTCTGCCTCACTTACAAATAATATGTGTTGTGAAGCTAGAAATAGTGCTTGATGTTAAGCTTAGAATACTCTGTATGTACAACCCAGTCTGACAGGTAAACAGTGTTATTACATTATACTGTACAGTAGGTAGTTGGGTCATACACAGTGCCATAGAGTTCCTCAGTTGTGTTTCTATCAACTGTGAGCATAGTATACTCTCTACAACCACCATACTAATACACAGTAGAGTAAACTGTTCATTAACAGGTACATACAATGTACATAGTTGTGTTTTTATCTGTTGAGGAATACTCTGTACTTAGAGATCAGGAGAACACACCATAAGCAGATACATCCAACATTCCCATTTCAGCAACATCTGCAAAATGAAATTCCACTATCATGGACCACACCTTGCTTGGCAAAGGCTTTGTAATTAAAGAGTACCAAGAAATATCATATTTCAGTATAACTACTGTATCAAATGTCAACCTCTCTCCATTGCTGGTCCTCATATATCCACTTCCGCTTGTGAAACTGTATTCCTACCAGAGACAGACAAAGCTCGTTCAGACCATCGAATGCATGATCTAGTTCCAAATTATGAGCGTTGATACCTGGGATGGTTATCATTCAGATTGACAGCCGGTGGTGGAGACTGCTCTGGAAAAACAGTAGTATCCATGCCTGTGATCAAAATCAGTAAGTGTAGAAA